TTAGCTCCATCTGCCCCAGTCATTACATATATATTATTATATATCCCACTCATTACTTCAGCTCCATCTGTCGCAGTCATTACTTTAGCTCCATCTGTGCCAGTCATTACTTCAGCTCCATCTGTGCCAGTCAATACTAAAGCTCCATCTGGTCCAGTCAGTCATTACTTCAGTGAGATTTTGCCCCAGTAGTCATTATTTTATTGCCATCTATCCCAGTCATTACTTAAGCTCTGTCTGTTGCAGTCATTACTTTAGCTCCATCTGTACCCATCATTACTTAAGTTACATCTGTCCCTAAAAGTAATTACTTTAGCTCCCTATGTTCCAGTCATTACTTCAGAACTGTCTGTTCTGGTCATTACTTTAGCCCCATCTGTCCCAGTCATTACTTTAGCCCCATCTGTCTCAGTCATTACTTCAGTTCCATCTGTTCCAGTCATTACTTCAGTTCCATCTGTCCCAGTCATTACTTAAGTGCCATCTTTCCCAGTCATTACTTTAGCCCTAACTGTCCCAGTCATTACTTCAGCTCCATCTGTCCCAGTCATTACTTCAGCTCCATCTGTCCCAGTCATTACTTCAGCTCCATCTGTCCCAGTCATTACTTCAGCTCCATCTGTCCCAGTCATTACTTCAGCTCCATCTGTCCCAGTCATTACTTCAGCTCCATCTGTCCCAGTCATTACTTCAGCTCCATCTGTCACAGTCGTTACTATAGTTCCATCCGTTCCAGTAAGTTATTACTTCAGTTTCATCTGTTCCAGTCAGTCATTACTTCAGTTCCATCTGTCCCAGTCATTACTTCAGCTCCATCTGTCACAGTCATTACTTTAGCTCCCTCTGTCCCAGTCATTACTTCAGCTCCATCTGTCACAGTCATTACTTTAGCCCCATTTGTCACAGTCTTTATTTTAGCACCCATCTGTCACAGTCATTATTTTAGCCCCATCTGTCACAGTCATTACTCTAGCCCCATCTGTTCCAGTCGGTCATTACTTCAGATTCATCTGTCCCAGTCAGTCATTACTTCAGCTTTATCTATTCTAGTAATTACTTTAGATACATTTGTCACAGTTAATGTTATGTATTCACAATCAACATCTTTGCACACTGGGCTCCCAATGTCTGCTCAGTCCTCTGATGCAGCAGCCACTCCAAGGTACCTCCACTGTTAGTTCCCATGAGGAGTTGGTTATTGTATCTCCTGTATTTACTTTGAAGACTGCATAAATGAGCTTCACCAAGCTTAACTCCTCGGTCACACGGTCGTCTTAGCATCAGAGATTTGCCATTATCCACTAACCTAATCCACACAGCGTTGATGAGTCATTATTTTAGCTCTAAATGTTCAAGTCAGTTGTTACTCTCATCCAGCCACATTTGTAAGCCAATCAAGGGCTCAAATTAATATTCTTGGGCCAGTAAAGTGCTAAACTTACATTCCTGAGCCAATCAAATGCTACATCTTACATTCCTAGGCCAAACTAGTGCTACAACTTACATTCCTGGGCCAATCTAGGGCTACAACTTACTTTCCTGGACCAATATAGTGCTACAACCTGCCTTCTTAGGCCAATCTAGTGCTACAACTTACATTTCTAGGCCAACCTAGTGCTACAACTTACATTTCTGGGCCACTCTAGTGCTACAACTTACATTTCTAGGCCAACCTAGTGCTACAACTTACATTTCTGGGCCAATCTAGTGCTACAACTTACATTTCTGGGCCAACCTAGTGCTACAACTTACATTTCTGGGCCAACCTAGTGCTACAACTTACATTCCTGGGCCAATTTTCAAAGCACTTCTGCCAGCAGTCACCATGACTGCCACAGCTTCCCAAGCTCTGTAGGTGTCCTCCCTGGTCTGACCCTGTCCTACCCGCGACTGTCCCAGGAGATCAGCAATGTGAGCAAATATGTAGGTCCACTTGGCATGAGCGTGTACTCCTAGGCGACCAAAGTACCTAGAGGGGAGAGGCATCAATAACATGAACTTTCAGGTGACCAAAGTACCTAGAGGGGAGAGGCATCAATAACATGAACTCTCAGGCAACCATAGTACCTAGAGGGGAGAGGCATCAATAACATGAACTTTCAGGCGACCAAAGTACCGAGAGGGGAGAGGCATCAATAACATGAACTCTCAGGCGACCAAAGTACCTAGAGGGGAGAGGCATCAATAACATGAACTCTCAGGCGACCAAAGTACCTAGAGGGGAGAGGCATCAAAAACATGAACTTTCAGGCGACCAAAGTACCTAGAGGGGAGAGGCATCAATAACATAAACTACCAGGCGACCAAAGTATCTAGAGGGGAGAGGCATCAAAAACATGAACTTTCAGGTGACCAAAGTACCTAGAGAGGTGAGGAATCAATAACATGAACTTTCAGGCAACCATAGTACCTAGAGGTGAGAGGCATCAATAACATGAACACTCAGGCAACCAAAGTACCTAGAGGGGAGAGGCATCAATAACATGAACTCTCAGGCGACCAAAGTACCTAGAGAGGTGAGGAATCAATAACATGAACTTTCAGGCAACCATAGTACCTAGAGGTGAGAGGCATCAATAACATGAACACTCAGGCAACCGAAGTACCTAGAGGGGAGAGGCATCAATAACATGAACTTTCAGGCGACCAAAGTACCTAGAGGTGAGAGGCATCAATAACATGAACACTCAGGCAACCAAAGTACCTAGAGGGGAGAGGCATCAATAACATGAACTCTCAGGCGACCAAAGTACCTAGAGAGGTGAGGAATCAATAACATGAACTTTCAGGCAACCATAGTACCTAGAGGTGAGAGGCATCAATAACATGAACACTCAGGCAACCAAAGTACCTAGAGGGGAGAGGCATCAATAACATGAACTTTCAGGCGACCAAAGTACCTAGAGAGGTGAGGAATCAATAACATGAACTTTCAGGCAACTAAAGTACCTAGAGGTGAGAGGCATCAAAAACATGAACTCTCAGGCAACCAAAGTACCTAGAGGGGAGAGGCATCAATAACATGAACTCTCAGGCAACCATAGTACCTAGAGGGGAGAGGCATCAATAACATGAACTCTCAGGTGACCAAAGTACCTAGAGGGGAGAGGCATCAATAACATGAACTCTCAGGCGACCAAAGTACCTAGAGGGGAGAGGCATCGATAACATGAACTCCTAGGCAACCAAAGTACCTAGAGGGGAGAGGCATCAATAACATGAACTCTCAGGCAACTAAAGTACCTAGAGGTGAGAGGCATCAAAAACATGAACTCTCAGGCAACCAAAGTACCTAGAGGGGAGAGGCATCAATAACATGAACTCTCAGGCAACCATAGTACCTAGAGGGGAGAGGCATCAATAACATGAACTCTCAGGTGACCAAAGTACCTAGAGGGGAGAGGCATCAATAACATGAACTCTCAGGCGACCAAAGTACCTAGAGGGGAGAGGCATCGATAACATGAACTCCTAGGCAACCAAAGTACCTAGAGGGGAGAGGCATCAATAACATGAACTCTCAGGCAACTATAGTACCTAGATGGGAGAGGCATCAATAACAAGAACTCTCAGGTGACCAAAACACCTAGAGGGGAGAGGCATCAATAACATGAACTCTCAGGTGACCAAAGTACCAAGAGGTTAGAGGCATCAATAACATAAACTCCCAGGCGACCAAAGTACCAAGAGGTGAGAGGCATCAATAGCATAAACTCTCAGGCGACCAAAGTACCAAGAGACAAGAGGATCAATTACATGAACTCTTAAGTGATCAAAGTACCCAGAGACAAGAGGATCAATAACATGAACTCTCAAGTGAAAAAAAGTACCCAGAGACAAGAAGATCAATAACATGAACTCCCAAGTGACCAAAGTACCCAGAAACAAGAGGACCAATAACATGAACTCTCAAGTGACCAAAGTACCCAGAGACAAGAGGACCAATAACATGAACTCTCAAGTGACCAAAGTACCCAAAGACAAGAGGTATTAATAACATGAACTCTCAAGTGACCAAAGTACCCAGAGACAAGAGGTCCAATAACATGAACTCTTAAGTGACCAAAGTACCCAAAGACAAGAGGTATTAATAACATGAACTCTAAAGTGACCAAAGTACCCAGAGACAAGAGGATCGATAACATGAACTCTCAAGTGACCAAAGTACCCAAAGACAAGAGGACCAATAACATGAGCTTTCATTTGGTGTGGGTATTCTTCCCATGTTTAGTAAAAGAATATTCTACATTTTTTTGTTAGAATCAAGTGGACAGGAAAGTTATTTTGTATCATGTTCAAAAATTGAAAGTCAAGTGTTGGTCATCTGCAGTGTAGACCTGCAGAATATAGACAACAGTGTAGATAATACAGTGTGTGCATAAAACTATTAGCGGTCGTTCACAACCCAGCTGTTTTGTTTCATTAAAATAACAATAGCACAGACATTATAAAGCACAACTGATCACCTGCTATATCTGCCTATATTTCTTCAGGTGTATTTCATCAAATGCTACATCAGCTTTTAATCAAGCATGGTAAATGAATCCTTTCAAATGAAATATATCAATCATAATGCTTTTGTTACGCTGTACATCTCATCATGGAAGACTTAGATTCACTATGTCAGCCTTTTATTTATATAATGCGGAAGTACTCATCCAAAATCCAACTGTTTCCGCACATTGTAATTTTAGAGTGTGATAAATAACTCAGACAGCCCAATACTTCTAAATTTCTTGACTGGATGCAAGACAGCACAATACTTATCAATCTCTTGACTGGATTCTAGCAGATGAAGAGCTGCTCAAGAATATGGCTTACTGGGAGCCTAGGGTAGCATCTACGATGGGTTTAGTCAGCTTACTGAGGGTCTCAGTTCTCTCGGAAAGTCAAAGGCAGATAATAATTTCAAGGATCACAAACAGGAATTTGTTTTCTTATTTGTGAGCCTTGTAATTATTATCTACCTTTGAAAGTCACAAACAATTGAAAGTGATAACTTACTTTGACTTGACTGCGCCAGGATGTGACCTTTGATCCAGGTCTGGGCAAGTTGCCGATTTGATGAAAGTCCCACTGACCTTTAACCCTTCCTCAAGAGTACCACTAAAAGTCCCATCTAGTTTATCTCCAGAGGATAGTGTCAAAGTGCCCTAGAAATGTTTCAAATGAAATTGTAGTGATTATCATTTTCTTCTCAACAATTTATGTGTACAGTAGCAATAACGTCAGATAATAAACATGAAGTATTTAGCTGAGTTTAGTGAGGACGAATTGTGTCTTGGTGCACATAAAATGTTGACCAAACAGGAAAATTGCCAAACCCATGCCAAATGAGAATCACGAGCACATAAGAATAAGAGCTTTGCAGGAGCAGTGTGGGTTTGAACCTGAGGATTATCCATGGGGATGGGAGGCGTGCTGGGTGATTTGTAAAGCTAGTACGTCTTAGATAAGGGTGCCTACATCTTTTGACATCAACTGTCTTATGCTGTTCTGTGATTATTCATTAAAGATTTGTGTGTGATCTGACAGGGTATTCGGTTAAGTGTGTTTTTGGATAGATTGTCTGTCACAGGCCCGTACCATGAGCCACATACCAGCAAGGTCGATCAGTGGTCGGTGACATGCTGCTATATTATAGGTGTCCTCCATAAATAGCTAGGTCTTGGTAATTTACTTCTTTGCTTTTCCTCCATTTCATTCCATAAACTATTTCTATGTACACTATCATACGCCTTTTTAAAATCCACAAAAACATTATGTACATCTCTTTTATATTCTCAGTTTTGCTCTGCTGTTTGCTGTAAAATTAATATCAGATTTATTGTTGATCTGTTCTGTCGGAAACCTGCTAGGTAATCTACCAGTATGTCTTCGATGTTTGGTTTAAGTCTGTTTAGCAGTACCGCCGATATTATCTTATAGCTTGTAGATAATAATGATATTCCTCAATAATTTTCACATCCATTCTTGTCTCCTTTCTTAAAAATGAGGATTAATAAAGATACTTTCCATTCATGGGTTAATTTCTCCGTCTTCCAAACTAGTTTTTTTAATTCCTATATCTTTAAATGTAATGCATGACCACCTTCTTTTATAAGTTCGACAGCAATTCCATGAGCATCAGTTGCTTTATTGTTTTTAAGCCATGTTATGAAATACAGTACTTCTTTAAAATCAGGCTCTTCAATAACTGGTTCACATGTTAGTATCTCTTCCTGTGAATAAGTATTAAGTAGAGTTTTACAATTTAAGAATTCAGCAATGTATTTTTTCAGTTACATATTTCCTCATTATTATTTATCTTGTTGCCACTCTGATCTTTTAAACTATATATGCTGTGTTGACGCTCTCGTTTTAAAGCCTTCAGTTCTTTAAAAAAACTTTTTCGGTTTCTTGTGTCTGATGTTTAGCTTCTAAAAATCCATATATATAAAGCTAGAACCGACTGTGTTAAAGTAACGATTTGGTCAGCTTCAAGTTTTCCATGTGGCTTCTGCAGCCTCACTTGGACGGGCTGGGGGAAGAATGGACCCAGTGCCCCCTTGAGAAGCATATTCTAAAAGTGGACTAATGAAGGTTTGATTGAAATCACTTGTGTTGAGCTGAGCAGTGCAGATATTACAGCTTTGCTATAAACTGCAACACAATGTGTCAAGCACCTAATTTGTGAGTAAATGCAGAAAAGAAGACAACTTCAACAAATGACAAGATGTAATGATGTAAGAAAAGCTAATTATGTATGGAGTTAATGAGGCAGATGACAAAGTTTATTCAGGGACAACATTATCACCGAGGTGGCCTTGTCTGGGTAAGGAAGAGATCTGTTTGCTCACCTCATTATTTCATAGACAACACTGTGGTTGAGGTGTGTGGGGAAGGAAGAGGTGCACTTACCTCACTATTTCATGGTGCACGAAAATGTGAAAGCAGTACACTTTACACCCCAACAGTGGCGTTTGGCCAGAGTCTCTTATCCATAATCTTTGGCCAAATAATTCTCATAAGCTAAAATTAGATAGAAAGAGAGAGAGAGAGAGAGAGAGAGAGAGAGAGAGAGAGAGAGAGAGAGAGAGAGAGAGAGAGAGAGAGAGAGAGAGAGAGAGAGACAGAGAAACAGACTAAAAGAAATATACATAGATAGAGAGAGAGATAGAGAGAGAGAGGAGAGAGAGAAAGAGAGAGAGAGAGAGAGAGAGAGAGAGAGAGAGAGAGAGAGAGAGAGAGAGAGAGAGAGAGAGAGAGAGAGAGAGAGAGAGAGAGAGAGAGAGAAAACATGCCAAACCTTGCCGGAGAGATGTGTGATGTCTGTAAAGGAGCCTTCGTACAAGGTGTTGTCATCAGAGACCATCAGACCAAAGCCCTGCAGACACAAATGGAGACAACAACAACCTAACATTGACATCCATGACAGGAATGCTATATCTGTCTATCCTGAGCTCTTCCAGTGACATGTAGTGCTCTTCCAGTGACATGTAGTGCTCTTCCAGTGACATGTAGTGCTCTTCCAGTGACATGTAGTTGTTTCTTCAATGTGTTCTATATCACAGACAAGACCTGATGGTAACCACAATCCCTGAGGGGTTAAGGTAGTAACTGGGAGACAGTGGGTTGATGACACAAGAAGAGTGGGTTAAAGTTACAGAAAGTGGATTCATGTCATAGATGACTGGACTGATGTCACAGAAAACTAGACTGAGGTCACAGAAAAATAGGCTGATGTCACAGAAGAGTAGGTCAATGTCACATAAGAGCTTGCTGATGTCACAGAAGAGCTTGCTAATGTCACATAAGAGTCAAGTAATGTCACAGAAGAGCTTGCTGATGTCAGAGAAGAGCTTGCTGATGTCATAGAAGAATTTGCTGATGTCACAGAAGAGCTTGCTGATGTCACAGATGAGTTTGCTGATGTCACATAAGAGTCAAGTAATGTCACAGAAGAGTTTGCTGATGTCACAGATGAGTTTGCTGATGTCACAGAAGAGTTTGCTGATGTCACAGAAGAGTGGCTGATGTCACAGAAGAGTTTGCTGATGTCACAGAAGAGTTTGCTGATGTCACAGAAGAGTGTGCTGATGTCACAGAAGAGTGTTCTGATGTCACAGAAGAGTGTTCTGATGTCACAGAAGAGTGTTCTGATGTCACAGAAGAGTGTTCTGATGTCAAAGAAGAGTGTGCTGATGTCACAGAAGAGTGTGCTGATGTCACAGAAGAGTTTGCTGATGTCACAGATGAGTGTGCTGATGTCACAGAAGAGTTTTCTGATGTCACAGAAGAGTGGCTGATGTCAAAGAAGAGTGTGCTGATGTCACAGAAGAGTGTTCTGATGTCACAGAAGAGTGTTCTGATGTCACAGAAGAGTGTTCTGATGTCACAGAAGAGTGGCTGATGTCAAAGAAGAGTGTGCTGATGTCACAGAAGAGTGTTCTGATGTCACAGAAGAGTGTTCTGATGTCACAGAAGAGTGTTCTGATGTCACAGAAGAGTGGCTGATGTCAAAGAAGAGTGTGCTGATGTCACAGAAGAGTTTGCTGATGTCACAGATGAGTGTGCTGATGTCACAGAAGAGTGTTCTGATGTCACAGAAGCATCAGGTAGTGTCACAGAAGAGTTTGCTGATGTCATAGAAGAGTGTTCTGATGTCACAGAAGCATCAGGTAGTGTCACAGAAGAGTTTGCTGATGTCACAGAAGAGTGTTCTGATGTCACAGAAGCATCAGGTAGTGTCACAGAAGAGTTTGCTGATGTCATAGAAGAGTCAAGTAATGTCACAGAAGAGTTTGCTGATGTCACAGAAGAGTTTGCTGATGTCAAAGAAAAGTTTGCTTATGTCAAAGAAGAGTGGCTGATGTCATTGGAGAGCTTGCTGATATCAAAGAAAAGTGGCTGATGTCACAGAAGAGCTTGTTGGTGTCAAAGAAGAGTTTGCTGATGTCAAAGAAGAGAAGGTTGATATTACAGAAGAGTTTGCTGATGTCAAAAATGAGTTTGCTGATGTCACAGAAGAGTTTCCTGAAGTCACAAAGAGTTTGCTGATGTCACAGAAGAGTTTGCTGATGTCACAGAAGAGTTTGCTGATGTCACAGAAGAGTTTGCTGATGTCACAAAAGAGTTTGCTGATGTCACAGAAGAGTGGGTTGGTGTTACAAAAGAATGGGTTGGTGTTACATAAGAGTGGGTTGGTGTTACAAAAGAGTGGGTTGATGTTACAGAAGAGTGGGTTGGTGTTACAGAAGAGTGGGTTGGTATTACAAAAGAATGGGTTGGTGTTACAGAAGAGTGGGTTGGTGTTACAGAAAAGTGGGTTGGTGTTACAGAAGAGTGGGTTGGTGTTACAGAAGAGTGGTTTGGTGTTAAAGAAGAGTGGGTTGGTGTTACAAAAGAATGGGTTGGTGTCACAGAAGAGTGGGTTGGTGTTACATAAGAGTGGGTTGGTGTTACAGAAGAGTGGGTTGGTGTTACAGAAGAGTGGGTTGGTGTTACAGAAGAGTGGGTTGGTGTTACAGAAAAGTGGGTTGGTGTTACAGAAGAGTCGGGTAGAAAACATAAAGAAATTAATGCAGTCTACAACAGGGTAATCAATCAACAGCTGGTGAGTTGCTTGGTACAGAAAGAGTTAAAGATGACAGAGTTAAAGATGACAGAGACAGACAGGAAGGGGATAACAGAGACAGACAGGAAGGGAATGACAGAGATAGACAGGAAGGGGATGACAGAAACAGACAAGGGGATGATAGAGACAAACAGGAAGGGGATGATAGAAACTCACAGGAAGGGTATGACAGAAACAGACAAGAGGAGGTCGACAGAGACAATTAGAAGAGGTTGCCAGAAACAGACAGGAAAGGGATGACAGAAACAAACAGGAGAGGGTTGAAAGAGACATGCAGGAAGAGGATGATAGAAACAGACATGAAGGGGATGACAGAAACAGACAGGAAGGGGATGAAGAAACATACAGGAATGGATGACAAAAACTGACAGGGAGGGGATGACCAAAAAAAAAAAACCAGATAGAAAGGGGATGACAGAAATATGAAGTTGACAGAAACAAACAGGAAGAGGATGAGAGAAACAGACAGGAGGAGGTTGACAGAAACAGACAGGAGGAGGTTGACAGAGACAGACAGGAAGAGGATGACAGAGACAGACAGGAGGAGGTTGACAGAGACAGACAGGAGGAGGTTGACAGAGACAGACAGGAGGAGGTTGACAGAGACATACAGGAGGAGGTTGACAGAGACAGACAGGAAGAGGTTGACAGAAACAGACAGGAGGAGGTTGACAGAGACAGACAGGAGGAGGTTGACGGAAACAGACAGGAGGAGGTTGACAGAGACAGACAGGAGGAGGTTGACGGAAACAGACAGGAGGAGGTTGACAGAAACCGACAGGAGGAGGATGACAGAAACAGACAGGAGGAGGTTGACAGAGACAGACAGGAGGAGGTTGACGGAAACAGACAGGAGGAGGTTGACAGAAACAGACAGGAGGAGGTTGACGGAAACAGACAGGAGGAGGTTGACAGAGACAGACAGGAAGAGGATGACAGAGACAGACAGGAGGAGGTTGACAGAGACAGACAGGAGGAGGTTGACGGAAACAGACAGGAGGAGGTTGACAGAAACAGACAGGAGGAGGTTGACAGAAACAGACAGGAAGAGGTTGACAGAGACACACAGGAAGAGGATGACAGAGACAGACAGGAAGAGGATGACAGAGACAGACAGGAGGAGGTTGACAGAGACAGACAGGAAGAGGATGACAGAGACAGACAGGAAGAGGATGACAGAGACAGACAGGAAGAGGATGACAGAGACAGACAGGAAGAGGATGACAGAGACAGACAGGAAGAGGATGACAGAGACAGACAGGAAGAGGATGACAGAAACAGATTGGGAATAATGTGAAAGACTTACCACTAGCTTACTCTGGAGAAAGTTTCCCTCAAAGTACATGCCATCTAGAGTCACAAGGACACCACTTCCCTGGCGATGACCATGCACCCACATACCCATATACTTCTCACCTGTAATGTACAATATGGGGGAATTAGTCTAGGTGTACTAACAGGATTGATCTAACAAACAGGATTACTCTATGCAAACTAACAGGATTGTATAAAGGAAACAAACAGCAATAATCTACTGACTGATCTACACAAATTAACAGGACTGATTACATAAACAAACAAGTTTTATCTACACAAACAAACAAGACTGATCTACACAAACTAGTCTGAACTACACAAACAAACAGGATTGATCTACAACAAGCCTGATCTACATAAACAAACAGGATTGATCTACAACAACAAGCCTGATCTACATAAACAAACAGGATTGATCTACAACAACATACCTGATCTACATAAACAAACAGGATTGATCTACAACAACAAGCCTGATCTACATAAACAAACAGGATTGATCTACAACAACAAACCTGATCTACATAAACAAACAGGATTGATCTACAACAACAAGCCTGAACTACATAAACAAACAGGATTAATCTACAACAACAAACCTGATCTACATAAACAAACAGGATTGATCTACAACAGCAAGCCTGATCGACATAAACAAACAGTACTGATCTACAACAACAAACCTGATCTACATAAACAAACAGGATTGATCTGCAACAACAAACCTGATCTACATAAACGAACAGGATTGATCTGCAACAACAAGCCTGATCTACATAAAAAAACAGGATTGATCTACAACAACATACCTGATCTACATAAACAATCAGGATTGATCTACAACAACAAGCCTGATCTACATAAACAAACAGGATTGATCTACAACAACAAACCTGATCTACATAAACAAACAGGATTGATCTACAACAACAAGCCTGATCTACATAAACAAACAGGATTGATCTACAACAACAAGCCTGATCTACATAAACAAACAGGATTGATCTGCAACAACAAACCTGATCTACGTAAACAAACAGGATTGATCTACAACAACAAACCTGATCTACACAAACAAACAGGATTGATCTACAACAACAAGCCTGATCTACATAAACAAACAGGATTGATCTACAACAACAAACCTGATCTATATAAACAAACAGGATTGATCTACAACAACAAACCTGATCTACATAAACAAACAGGATTGATCTACAACAACAAGCCTGATCTACATAAACAGACAGGATTGATCTACAACAACAAACCTGATCTACACAAACAAACAGGATTGATCTACAACAACAAGCCTGATCTACATAAACAAACAGGATTGATCTACAACAACAAACCTGATCTACATAAACAAACAGGATTGATCCGCAACAACAAACCTGATCTACATAAACAAACAGGATTGATCTACACCAACAAACCTGATCTACATAAACAAACAGGATTGATCTACAACAACAAGCCTGATCTACATAAACAAACAGGATTGATCTACAACAACAAACCTGATCTACACAAACAAACAGGATTGATCTGCAACAACAAACCTGATCTACATAAACAAACAGGATTGATCTACAACAACAAGCCTGATCTACATAAACAAACAGGATTGATCTACAACACCAAGCCTGATCTACATAAACAAACAGGATTGATCTACAACAACAAACCTGATCTACATAAACAAACAGGATTGATCTACAACAACAAGCCTGATCTACATAAACAAACAGGATTGATCTGCAACAACAAAACTGGCTCAACACCCCCCACCCCTCCTTTCCCCCTCCAAAAGTAAGTCACTGTACTGCTTTTGGCTAGTTTCCTTATGAGCCCTGGTAATACAAGCATGGTGTAAAAATGTTTATTGAATAGAAACTGAGGAATACCTTTGAGAACGTCATCTTGAACACCATAGCCCTGTGGGAGATTGTTTAGCCATTCTCCAATGTAGACGGAAGCATATGTGGACTTGTAATGACCAGACTGGTACATGCCATGTCCGACCCTCAGTCCATCTTGGAAGTAGCCCTCATACAAGTCTCCATTTGCATAACTAGAAGCAGAGAACATCAGAGGTTTCATAGGTTTAGTGTCTTTCCATGACTTGGTAGCTCTTCCCCTGATGCACTCGTTATAACTTTGTGCCTTCTTTCAAATATTAAAATTTCTTACAATGGACACTACACAAGTTAACTCTTTTAGCAAGAAAATCACAAAGTGAAACAAAAGAGGGGAGACTAGTTTCCAGCGAGTATCAAGACAGTCTCTAGAGAAACTGGAGCGCATACAGAATGAAGCTATGCGGGTGATCCTGGGATGTACAAGAGACACCCCACTTATGCGCATGTGATACATTCCTTGCATTGCCGACTATTGCAGATAGTCTAAAGATGCTTCAGGCTAAGTCATACCTCAGAGTAGCTGCAGACAAAGAAATACCTCTGTGTGAAGCTTTGGCTGTAGGTAAGGGTTAGAGGCTGGAAAGGGGAAATTAGTGGATGGCTCAAGCAGAAGGCACAATAAGACAAGTATGAATGCTGGAAAAAAATTGGGCGAGGAGAGGAGTGGGTCAGAGTAGCAGAGGAAAAGTCTGACCTGTGTAGGGTTATGATCACATTGGACCGGGAGTACAGAGAGTGGCCAGCGGGTGCTACGGAGGTTGAAGTCCAACAGCCGATGTACAACAATTCACGCCCAGGTGATCTGATTATCTATACAGGTGGTTCAGTGGTGAGAGGAAAGAGAAGTGCCTGGAGGTTCATAGCAAAAGCCAATGGAAAATCTTTGGTGCAAGACAGCCTAGCATACGACATCACAACATCTAGCATGAGAATGGAGGTGGAGGCGGTAAACTGCAGCTCTACGGTAGCTAGAGAACAAGATGCATACACATGTCGTAATTGTAACAGACTCTGAAAGTATGCTAAGAAAGGTAAAGACAGGGATGCTTCGAGCAGAGTGGCAAGCTTTAACTGGGAAGGTCATGGGTAGTGAGCATACTTTGGATCTTTTCTCCAGGCTATGCCAGCGTAGTGGGTAATGAACAGGCAGACAGATTGGCTAAATGTGCACCACTGGGTGGTGAACTGATATATGACGAGGCAGATGTGGTCAAAGCCCTTTGGGAACAAGCAAAGGAATTAGTAGAGAAACACAATTATTATGGCCTGGAGAGAATGAGGCACCTGGGTGAAACCAGAGGGTCTGGCTGGCTTACTACACTCAGAAGAAAGGCAAGACGGACATTTAACCAGATTGTTACCTGTACTATCAGTATTGGGCATCTGCGCTGGCTGCTGAAGATGAGGAGTGAGCACATATGGGAAGTGCTGTGATGTCAATTCTTGATTAAACTCAACTCACCTCAACTCAAGATAGTAACTCCCCTGAACTGTCACTATGAAGCTCAATAAAGAAGGGAAGAGGGCGCAACACATACACAGGAACAACAAGGCGGTTTGGCAGCCGCCTTTATCCACAAAAAACCACAACAACAAGGGAAAGCGTATCCTGGCCACCATACAATATACAAAGAGGAAAAGATGACGTGGAAAGATCAAACAAATAAAAAAAATTAAAAATAGTAATAATAATTAAACTAATAATCAAATAGAATTAATACGAGTAATGATTGTAGTAGCAGTAGTTGTAGAAATAACAATTACAGGCAAAATCAAATTTAAAAAAAAACCTAAAAGTAATAATATTATTTAATGAAGGTATGCTGAACACTGATACCTCCAGGGCATAGAACACATAAACTATGAATAAGGAGATCTTCCAACCGGCAGAAGCGCATGGCTTGATCACTGTCAGAGGCTAGTGCGGCTATGGGAAGCACAACAGATGATAGTGAATCATCACGTTTGTATGAGTTGACCTTCAGTACAACTCAGTATGAGAGCGGACAGCTTGGCCACGCAATAAACTGGGTCCAGTTAACAGGCCAGGTCGAGTTCACTCAGCTGACACGGATTGCTGTGTGTCAAGCCATGAACTCAGAGGGGAAATACAAAAGGTTTTGTCCGAGCTGGTTTGAGGGGAGTCATGTGCTGAGACAGGAGACAAGAAGGACGCATTCTGACTAGGTAACGTTAGGATTTAGCGACGGTTAGTTGAAATAGGGTATTTGTATTTCGTATTGATGATAGGCTGTGTTTCTATTTCATGTTTAGACTAGATAGTATAGAGTTAAGGTTCTTTGTGTAGTAGACATTCCATGCAGTATTTGTTTGAGCAGTTAATCAAGGTGTGACGTGCATTGTAATGGCGATAACACTGCCGGGTCACGCTTAGGCCACACACCTTATGTGTATCGCTGAGTCCCGTTTGGCAATAGACGGCGGATTAATTAGCACTGAGAAACTAGCAGCTAAGAATCGTGTTCCTGATAGATCCATGGGAACTGGCCTGGGTTGATTAGTGAGTGTAGAGCTGTCATAGCCAGGCAGTTTCGGATGGGAGCTGATCAGCTCAGTTGAGGTGTTTAACGTCTTGTTGTTCATTGTAAATTAAAGATTATGTTTGTACTCAGCAGGAGTATTGTCTTGAGTTTGTCTGGGTAGTTAAGTCTGTCAGCTGGCCTATCTAGTGAGCCATATAAAATAAGTAGAGTAAATTAGGTCCCTGACAATCACCAGAGCAAGATTTCATAACGAAGACAGCAATATCATATTCACCACTGTGGTAAGACCTATTGAAATGGAGAGAGACTGGACTGAGTACCTTACTGTGAATATCCAAGAGATGTTCACAGAAACTATCCAAGAGATGTTCACAGAAACAATCCAAGAGATGTTCACAGAAACTATCCAAGAGATGTTCACAGAAACAATCCAAGAGATGTTCACAGAAACTATCCAAGAGATGTTCACAGAAACAATCCAAGAGATGTTCACAGAAACTATCCAAGAGATATTCACAGAAACAATCCAAGAGATGTTCATAGAAACTATCCAAGAGATGTTCACAGAAACTATCCAAGAGATATTTACAGAAACAATCAGCTAGTTTTCTGCCAGCTTCCCTAATATGTGTCCTTTTGCATCTTTTACATATAATAGCACAGGTGAAGTTTTGGGATTTGCAAGTACATGTTTCCTTAATCCAGAATGAACTATTGAGGAAATTGACTGATAAGGTCTGGAAAACAAATGGGCAAGTTGACACCTAATAAAGGAAGATTCCATAGTCCCAGCAGGAAGGGATGTGTGAATCAGTCACAGTCTGCTTCTGACAAGTCTGTCCTCTAGACTGTGGTCCCACCAAGGGTAGACTACTCTCATAAATTTGTTGGCTGTCTGGACCTGAGAGGAGATTATCCAGGTTGCCATAGAAACATCTGGAAGCACCCACATTATCAGGATTGAAAGTTAATATCACTCTAGATCTACGTGGTATAGGATCATCTGGAAGCACCCACATTATTCGGATGGACAGTTATTATCACTCTGGGTCTATGTGGATCACAAGGTATTCTCTCTGAGTGGCCAAACCATTTATTTGGTTCCCGTGTATGCAATCCAGTACTTGTTCTATAATGAAAACAGTTATCAACATACAAAGAGTTAAACAAAATTCTTTCTCATGCAGGACAAATCTTCCAAACAATACACAGCTAGCAGAAATGATTTTGTTCATACATAACAGGAGCTATCAGAGATATCAGTGCATACACATGAGTCATACGTTATTTTATATATATAAATAAAAAATAAATATATATATATATATGTTGCAAAAAATAACAACAACCAGAAACATAATCATGCCCACACATAAAAGAGTATTTGTTTTCTCTGGAACACAGAATACAAACGCACTGTATAGTTCCCAGTCCACAAGCTTTCCTTCCTTCCAGGTTCCTGTCTGAACTTCTTTTCCTTTATTGTGTATGATGGTGTACATGCCAGACCTAGCAGCAATAGACAGAAGAAAACAGGAACATATTCAGACTGGTGTTTATAATGAGACAGTCAGACAGTAAAACAGGAACATATTCAGACTGGTGTTTATAATGAGACAGTCAGACAGTAAAACAGGAACATGTTCAGACTGGTGTTTATAATGAGACAGTCAGACAGTAAAACAGGAACATATTCAGACTGGTGTTTATAATGAGACAGTCAGACAGTAAAACAGGAACATGTTCAGACTGGTGTTTATAATGAGACAGTCAGACAGTAAAACAGGAACATATTCAGACTGGTGTTTATAATGAGACAGTCAGACAGTAAACAGGAACATGTTCAGACTGGTGTTTTATAATGAGACAGTCAGATAGTAAAACAGGAACATATTCAGACTGGTGTTTATAATGAGACAGTCAGACAGTACAACAGGAACATGTTCAGACTGGTGTTTATAATGAGACAGTCAGACAGTAAAACAGGAACATATTCAGACTGGTGTTTATAATGAGACAGTCAGACAGTAAAACAGGAACATGTTCAGACTGGTGTTTATAATGAGACAGTCAGACAGTAAAACAGGAACATATTCAGACTGGTGTTTATAATGAGACAGTCAGACAGTACAACAGGAACATATTCAGACTGGTGTTTATAATGAGATAGTCAGACAGTAGAACAGGAACATGTTCAGACTGGTGTTTATAATGAGACAGTAAGACAGTAAAACAGGAACATGTTCAGACTGGTGTTTATAATGAGACAGTCAGACAGTAGAACAGGAACATGTTCAGATTGGTGTTTATAATGAGACAGTCAGACAGTACAACAGGAATATATTCAGACTTGTATATATAATGAGGTAGCCAGACAGTAAAACATGAATATATTCCTGTCTGTTTCTGTCATCCCTTTCATGCCTGTTTCTGTCATCCCCTTGCTGTCTGTTTCTGTCATCCCCTTCATGTCTGTTTCTGTCATTCCCTTCCTGTCTGTTTCTGTCATTCCCTTCCTGTCTGTTTCTGTCATTCCCTTCCTGTCTGTTTCTGTCATCCCCTGTCTGTTTCTGTCATCCCCTGTCTGTTTCTGTCATCCCCTTTATGTCAGTTTTTTGTCATTCCCTTCCTGTCTGTTTCTGTCATCCCCTGTCTGTTTCTGTCATTCCCTTCCTGTCTGTTTCTTTCATTCTCTTGCTGTCTGTTTTTGTCATCCCCTTGCTGTCTGTTTCTGTCATCCCCTTGCTGTCAGTTTCTGTCAAAAACAGGAACATATTCAGACTGGCATATATAATGAGACAGCCAGACAGGAACCTATTCAGACAAGTATAATGAGACAGGTAACAGGAACATTTCTGGCATATATAATTAGACAGTGGGCATATATGGAATATAAAGAGGACAGTAAAACAGGAACATTTTCAGATGGGCATATATAATGAGGCAGACAGTAAGACAGGAACATACTCAGACTGGCAGATATAATGAGACAGACAGTAATAGAGGAAGCACAAAAACCATGTTTTCAAACATTAGTCTGACTGACTGACAGACTGACTGATTGACAGACTGACTGACTGACAAACTGACTGACAGACTGACTGACTGACAGACTGACCTATGATAATTGTTTCAGAGAAACAGGCTAGTTGTTTGATAGACTAATTGATTCACCAACTGATTGCTTGGTTGTTTATACGACTTCAGCCCTTTCAGCCGATGGTGACTGGATCAGGTTTTGTGAGAGCGCAGATAAGACCAATTCTAGCACTGACAGTTTTTGAGTAGTGTGGACAGGACACTGAGGCCCCATCTCTCCGGCGATTTGCTTCAGTGTCTTTCCTGGATTGCTGCTGCAGTTCTAGCAGCTTCCTGGGCTACAGCTCCTTGATAAAGAGAGGAGCACCAGTATGAGCTGTTACATGCAGTGACTTCCACAGTTTTAGGATCAATATAGAAGTCTTTCAGTGAGGTCCTGAAGTTGTCCTTGAAAAGTTACTTCTGTCCACCTTGAGATGTTTACCTTTTTGTAGCTCACCATAGAAAATTCTGTTTGGCAGTCGGTGGTCAAGCATGTGGACTATATGATCTGTCCAATGAAGTTCTGATTGTTTTAGAATCGAGTGAACACTGGGCAGTCCAGCTCTGTCAAGAACTTCAGTGTCAGGGATCCTGTCTTGCCATTTTATGTTTAGCAACTTTCTGAGGCATACTGTGTGGACATGGTTCAGCCTCTTATCATGGCACTGGCAGACGGTCCGTGTTTCACATGCATAGAGAGGTACAGGAAGTACAACAGCTTTGTACACTTGGAGCTCCGTCTGCAGGCTGATGCCAGCTTCTGTTCCAGACTTTTGTACCAAGTCGACCAAATGTGCTGCTGGCTTAGGGTGTCCTTGTGTTGATCTCTAGATCGATGTTAACTTTCTGAGTGAAGTTAGTTGCCAAGACATGTAAACCTGTCTACTCTCTGTAGTGCTCTGCCCTTGACTGTAATGTTTGGTTTGGGTAGAATTGTTCCTGGGGCTGGCTGGAACATTATTTCAGTTTTGTCAGTAATTATGACAAGCCATAATTTGTACTGGCTTCAGATAATTTGGTTACACTAAGTTGTAGTTCAAGCTCTGAGCTGGCGCACATAGCACAGTCATCAGCAAAATACAATTCTCTAATGGTGTCTGACTTGACCTTGGTTGTAGCAGTTAACCTCCTGAGATTAAATAGACCACCATCAGTGGGTTACCTGGCAGAAGACCAGGATCAAGGTGTGCTGTAAGGCAAGTCAGGATGATTCTGGCTAGCAATTCCCCTGCTACAGATAAAAGGGAGATGTCCCAATGGTTGTTGCAATACATGCAATTTCTTTTTCACTTGTAGAGGTGAACAACTGAGGCATCCTTTAGGTCTTGTGGGACAGTCTCACATGCCATAACATGACTATACTATACACATCATGACTATACTATACACATCATGACTATACTACAGATATCATGACTATACTATACATATCATGACTATACTATACACATCATGACTATACTACAGATATCATGACTATACTATACATATCATGACTATACTATACATATCATGACTATACTGACTGTCATAATGAATGTTTGATGACTGACTTACTTAAGTCAGATTAACTATGTGAGTGACTAAATGGTGTGTTAGTAAAATGAAGACTAAATAAATGATGATGGATTAACTAAGTAAATGACTGACTGAATGGTTGGTCGTTCTCAGGCAGACATATTAACTAAGTGACTGACCAGTTTCTTCACTGACTTGCTTTTTGCTGGTTTATCTGCTAACTGACTGATATTACAGAGTACACTTAAATACTGAAATACTAAATGCCCAGTGAGGAATCCCTGAAAACACTGCCATTGTTTTATACAAATAAAAGTATAAATATGGCAACAACTGTACATTACCCATGCATTAGTCCTCGCTTAAGGTGTCCTTCAAAGACAGATCCATCTGGCCACTGCAGGACCCCGCTGAGAACAGCAACACAAACAAAAGTAAATATTTATCACATTTTTGAAATTGAAAACACACATACACATACACACACAAATATTGTAAAGAAAGAATAACACAAATATGAACAGTGCCTCATGCACAGTCTGTAAGCAATAAGCAATAATAATATGCCCACTTATTCATGAATTCACTGTGTGTAAAATACATCTGTAAAAGAGATATAGAGTAAGATAATTAAATCACAGATATTACTTCTTCTTCTTTCCCACCATTTATCTCAGCGAGGTGTTGGAAGGAGATGTAAGAATCAATTGTGCCCTTTTCCCAATGCATTGTACAAGCTGATGTTCATATCTGTTAGGTTGCTCTTGATGTTGTTGCTCCATCTCTTGCGTGGTCTTCCCCTTGCTCTGTGTTCATTTTATTTCTTCAGGTTGGCTCTCTGTGGCAGTTGGTACCAGGTCATTCTCGTCAGGTGGCCAAACCATCTCATTTGTTGTCCTTTAATTAATCTGCATGGATGGTTTCAGCCCTAGTCTTCTTCTAATTTCTGAATTCTTGATTTTATCTGTTCTTGTCACACCCGCAGCTCTCCTAAGACATCTCATCTCTGTTGTTACGATCTTCCGCACATTAGTTATAGTCAGAGTCCACGTTTGGCACTGGTAGCACAATGTCAGCCAAAAAACCATTCTTATGAGATCTGCTTTGGTTGACAGAGGTATCTTTCTATGCATCAAAAACATAGTCCCATAACCTGATTTGCTTTCGCACATCTTATGTTGATTTCTCTATCAATTCTTCAATATGAGGTGAAAAATGACCCTAGATAATTTCATTTGCTCATTTGTTTTACAGATATTTCAAACCATGTAAATTATATGACATGTCATGTAAGACCATAAAGGTCATGAGAAATGTCAAGTTACATGAAGCCACTGAAGACAATACATTCTATGACAGTGCATACAGTCCATGAGCAATAATACGTTCTATAAGATTACATACAAGTCAAACAAGACCATGAACAGAATAAGTCACATAAGTCAAATGAGACTTTACAATTCATGAGACACGTGAATTCACATACAAGTCACACACAAACATACGTTCCATGAATTCACATACAAGTCACACACAAACATACGTTCCATGAATTCTCATACAAGTCACACACAAACATACGTTCCATGAATTCTCATACAAGTCACACACAAACATACGTTCCATGAATTCACATACAAGTCACACACAAACATACGTTCCATGAATTCACATACAAGTCACACACAAACATACGTTCCATGAATTCACATACAAGTCACACACAAACATACGTTCCATGAATTCACATACAAGTCACACACAAACATACGTTCCATGAATTCACATACAAGTCACACACAAACATACGTTCCATGAATTCTCATACAAGTCACACACAAACATACGTTCCATGAATTCACATACAAGTCACACACAAACATACGTTCCATGAATTCACATACAAGTCACACACAAACATACGTTCCATGAATTCACATACAAGTCACACACAAACATACGTTCCATGAATTCACATACAAGTCACACACAAACATACGTTCCATGAATTCACATACAAGTCACACACAAACATACGTTCCATGAATTCACATACAAGTCACACACAAACATGCGTTCCATGAATTCACATACAAGTCACACACAAACATACGTTCCATGAATTCACATACAAGTCACACACAAACATACGTTCCATGAATTCACATACAAGTCACACACACAAACATACGTTCCATGAATTCACATACAAGTCACACACAAACATACGTTCGATGAATTCACATACAAGTCACACACAAACATACGTTCCATGAATTCACATACAAGTCACACACAAACATACGTTCCATGAATTCACATACAAGTCACACACAAACATACGTTCCATGAATTCACATACAAGTCACACACAAACATACGTTCCATGAATTCTCCCTGCTAGCCAAGTTCCGTCGTAGGTGGCATCCTTGAAGAGGCCAGCCTTGACAAACGTGTGACGAGCATGTCGAGTCAAGGCTGGTGTTAACCTCTCCCTGCTGCCGTGAAGACTAGCAGTTGACTTCTGGTTTGTGAGCACTTTGCTGATGGCAGAGTTTAGTGCTACCAGCCATTCTGCCTGCAAAGTGAGGGATAAACAGTTAACATTCTTCAAGACAATAACAATGGGTTGTGGAAGGGCCTACAGAATCAACTGTTCATGACTGAAAGGGTTAGTGTAATAATGACAGAGACATTACAGGATCAGTAGCTGATGTGGCAGGCATCCAAGGAGAGAAACAATGAATAGTCCCAGGAGTTGTAGTAGAGGTCCAGTGGCACGGACAATAAACAGCTCCAGTAGTTGTAGTAGCAGGTGCCCAGGCAGAGAGACACCAAACTTCCAGGAGTTGTTGTAGAAGGTGCTCAGGCAGAGAGACACCAAACAGTTCCAGTAGTTGTTGTAGTAGGTGCCCAGGCTGAGAGACACCAAACAGTTCCAGTAGTTGTTGTAGCAGGTGCTCAGGCAGAGAGACACCAAACTTCCAGTAGTTGTTGTAGCAGGTGTCCAGGCAGAGAGACACCAAACTTCCAGTAGTTGTTGTAGTAGGTGCCCAGGCAGAGAGACACCAAACAGTTCCAGTAGTTGTTGTAGCAGGTGCCCAGGCAGAGAGACACCAAACAGTTCCAGTAGTTGTTGTAGTAGGTGCTCAGGCAGAGAGACACCAAACAGTTCCAGGAGTTGTTGTTGTAGGTGCTCAGGCAGAGAGACACCAAACAGTTCCAGTAGTTGTTGTAGTAGGTGCTCAGGCAGAGAGACACCAAACAGTTCCAGTAGTTGTTGTAGTAGGTGCTCAGGCAGAGGGACACCAAACAGTTCCAGTAGTTGTTGTAGTAGGTGCTCAGGCAGAGAGACACCAAACTTCCAGTAGTTGTTGTAGTAGGTGCTCAGGCAGAGAGACACCAAACAATTCCAGTAGTTGTTGTAGTAGGTGCCCAGGCAGAGAGACACCAAACTTCCAGTAGTTGTTGTAGTAGGTGCCCAGGCAGAGAGACACCAAACTTCCAGTAGTTGTTGTAGTAGGTGCTCAGGCAGAGAGACACCAAACAATTCCAGTAGTTGTTGTAGTAGGTGCCCAGGCAGAGAGACACCAAACAGTTCCAGTAGTTGTTGTAGTAGGTGCCCAGGCAGAGAGACACCAAACAGTTCCAGTAGTTGTTGTAGTAGGTGCCCAGGCAGAGAGACACCAAACAGTTCCAGTAGTTGTTGTAGTAGGTGCTCAGGCAGAGAGACACCAAACAGTTCCAGTAGTTGTTGTAGTAGGTGCCCAGGCAGAGAGACACCAAACAGTTCCAGTAGTTGTTGTAGTAGGTGCCCAGGCAGAGAGACACCAAACAGTTCCAGTAGTTGTTGTAGTAGGTGCCCAGGCAGAGAGACACCAAACTTCCAGTAGTTGTTGTAGTAGGTGCCCAGGCAGAGAGACACCAAACAGTTCCAGTAGTTGTTGTAGTAGGTGCCCAGGCAGAGAGACACCAAACTTCCAGTAGTTGTTGTAGTAGGTGCCCAGGCAGAGAGACACCAAACTTCCAGGAGTTGTTGTAGCAGGTGCCCAGGGAGAGAGACACCAAACTTCCAGTAGTTGTTGTAGCAGGTGCCCAGGCAGAGAGACACCAAACAGTTCCAGTAGTTGTTGTAGTAGGTGCCCAAGGACAGTGACACTGAAGAATTACAGCCACCTTTATGAAGGAATGAGTACACTATTTTTAAAGAGCCTAACTGAAGTAGTTGACAAGAAGCCAGATGGGATTCTTCAAGGAGGGCCAACAAGTAAGTGGTCATGAACCACAATATATATTTATGATTCATTTTTGAGCTTCCTCAAGTGTTGGTTCTAGATTGATGAAGCATTCACTTTATTTATGAGCTTTGCAAACCCAAACCTGCAGTCTGGGTACAAGTGGAGGTTTAAGTAAACAATGCAGCAGACTGATGCAGTAAGGAGTGAACAGAAGGTGTAGATACTCATGGAAAAGGGAAACAGGCATACAGAAACAGTCAAAAAGGCTTGCAGAAATAGTCAACCAGACATACAGAAACAGTCAAGCAGGCATACAGAAACAGTCAAGCAGGCATACAGAAACAGTCAAGCAGGCATACAGAAACAGTCAAAAAGGCATACAGAAACAGTCAAAAAGGCATACAGAAACAGTCAAAAAAGGATACAGAAACAGTCAAAAAGGCTTACAGAAACAGTCAAAAAGGCATACAGAAACAGTCAAAAAGGCATACAGAAACAGTCAAAAAGGCATACAGAAACAGTCAAAGAGACATACAGAAACATTCAAACAGACAAACGGAAATAGTCAAACAGGCATACAGAAATAGTCAAGCAGGCTTACAGAAACAGTCAAAAAGAAACAGTCAAACAGGCATACAGAAACAGTCAACAAGGCATACAGAAACAGTCAAACAGGCATACAGAAATAGTCAAGTAGGCTAACAGAATTAGTCAAACAGGGACACTTAATCAGTCAAACAGGCACACTGAATCAGTCAAACAGGCACACTGAATCAGTCAAACCGGGACACTGAAACAGTCAAACAGAAACAGTCAAACAGGCATAAAGAAACAGTCAAACAGGCATACAGAAACAGTCAAACAGGTATACAAGGAAACTGGCATACAGAAACAGTCAAACAAGTAAACAGAAACAGTCATAAGGAAACAAGCATACATAAACAATCACAAGGAAACAGACATATAGAACAGTCACAAGGAAACAGACATATAGAAACAGTCACAGGGAAACAGGTAGGCATAAACAGTCAAACAGGTATACAGAAACAGTCACAAGGAAACAGGCATACAGAAACAGTCAAACAGGCATACAGAAATAGTCAAGCAGGCTTACAGAATCAGTCAAACAGGGACACTGAAACAGTCACACAGAAACAGCCAAACAGGCATACAGAAACAGTCAAACAGAAACAGTCAAATAGGCATACAGAAACAGTCAAAAAGGCATACAGAAATAGTCAAACAGGCATACAGAAACAGTCAAACAGGTATTCAGAAACAGTCACAAGGAAAGAAGCATACAGAAACAGTCAAACAGGTGTACAGAAACAATCAAAAGGAAACAGGCATTTGGAAACAGTCACAGGGAAACAGGTAGGCAGAAACAGTCACAAGGAAACAGGTATACTGAAACAGTCACATGGAAAAATGTATATAGAAAAAGTCACAGGCACACAGAAACAGTCAAACAGGTATACAGAAATAGTCAAACAGGGACAATGAAACAGCAAAGAGGTATACAGAAACAGTCAAACAGTGACACTGAATCAGTCAAACAGGGACATTGAAACAGTCACACAGGCATACAGAACAGTCACAATGAAACAGGCATACAGAAACAGTCACACGGAAACAGGTAGGCAGACTTTTCACTCAAGGCAATGAAAACAGGTGGGCTAACTTTTACCCTGAATGTCACCGACTCCAGCAGCATGGACACTAATTGCAGCGTGACTATCAAGAATGGGCCCTCTATGGACAGGAGAGACATCATCAATGCCATGAGAGACTAAATGCAGTGTCATGTAAAATTATGTTCACTAAATAGACTGCATACCTTGGGTGTACCAGGAAAACTGCGAGACAGGAAAACCATGTCAGAGTCACTGATCACTACATCAACCAGAAGAGAATGGCAGTTGTTAGCACAGAAACACTTGGAGACATACTTGGGAAGAAATCAGAGTAATTATAGTCATGGTTGCTGAAGAAGGGAATGGAGTTTTTATAAAAAACACCTGTGATGCTTTGATATCAATTTTTATTTCATTCATATATTTCATTCATGCATTAATTCATACATTCATTCATTTATATATTTATTAATTGACTGACTCCCGGTCAAACTTAACAGATCTTAATTAACCACACAAAGCCACCTACCCTGTCAGCCGGAGTCGGAGCCACCACCTCAAATTTCTCTTCTGGTGTTGTAACTGTGATTACATTGCTGAAAGCAGAAGTTTGTCTGATCAAACTTGCAGTTCTGTGAACTAATACCTCAGACAGACTTTCTCTCTTAGACATCTGTCCCTCATTGACTATCTCATATCCCACCTCCCAGTGACTCAGTTTTCTCTACATATCTCTGACACCCTTCCCCATATCTCATCTCACAACGACTTAGGTGTTCTATTACTGACTAATGCTCCCTTACATACTGCATCTCGGATTCACTCTCTCTCACACAGCTTTTTTTCCCCTCATCTCTCTCATGAAGCTCATCTCTCTCATGTAGCTCATCTCTCTCATGTAGCTCATCTCTCTCATGTAGCTCATCTCTCTCATGTAGCTCATCTCTCTCGTGTAGCTCATCTCTTTCATGTAGCTCATCTCTCTCATGTAGCTCATATCTCTCATGTAGCTCATCTCTCTCATGTAGCTCATCTCTTTTACACAGCTCATCTCTCTCATGCAGCTCATCTCTCTCATGTAGCTCATCTCTCTCATGTAGCTCATCTCTCTCATGTAGCTCATCTCTCTCTCATGTAGCTCATCTCTCTCATGTAGCTCATCTCTCTCATCTCTCTCATGTAGCTCATCTCTCTCATGTAGCTCATCTCTCTCATGTAGCTCATCTCTCTCTCATGTAGCTCATCTCTTTTACACAGCTCCTCTCTCTCATGTAGCTCATCTCTCTCACGCAGCTCATCTCTCTCACGCAGCTCATCTCTCTCATGTAGCTCATCTCTCTCATGTAGCTCATCTCTCTCATGTAGCTCATCTCTCTCTCATGTAGCTCATCTCTCTCATGTAGCTCATCTCTCTCACGCAGCTCATCTCTCTCACGCAGCTCATCTCTCTCATGTAGCTCATCTCTCTCATGTAGCTCATCTCTCTCATGTAGCTCATCTCTCTCATGTAGCTCATCTCTTTTACACAGCTCTCTCTCTCATGTAGCTCATCTCTCTCATGAAGCTCATCTCTCTCATGTAGATCATCTCTTTCATGTAGCTCATCTCTTTTACACAGCTCTCTCTCTCATGTAGCTCATCTCTCTCATGTAGCTCATCTCTCTCATGTAGCTCATCTCTCTCATGTAGCTCATTTCTCACTCATG